AAAGAATCCTGGCAGTGTTATTCCATCCTTCTAGTTTGTCTGGATTCAATACCGTATCACTAGGTTATTGTGTATAAAGAATCCTGGCAGTGTTATTCCATCCTTCTAGTTTGTCTGGATTCAATACCGTATCACTAGGTTATTGTGTATAAAGAATCCTGGCAGTGTTATTCCATCCTTCTAGTTTGTCTGGATTCAATACCGTATCACTAGGTTATTGGTATAAAGAATCCTGGCAGTTGTTATTCCATCCCTCTTGCTTGTCTGGATTCAATACCATATCACTAGGTTATTGGTATAAAGAATCCTAACAGTGTTATTCCATCCCTCTAGATTGTCTGGATTCAATACCGTATCACTAGGTTATTGGTATAAAGAATCCTAGCAGTGTTATTCCATCCCTCTTGCTTGTCTGGATTCAATACCGTATCACTAGGTTATTGGTATAAAGAATCCTGGCAGTGTTATTGTGTCCTTCTAGTTTGTCTGGATTCAATACCATATCACTAGGTTATTGGTTAGTGCCAAACTTTGTAAGTGTGTTTCAAGCACAGTTCAACAAATCTGAATGTTTAAACCAAAGTGAGCTTTCTCATATAGGTCTGTCATTAATTAAGTTTAAATGAAGCTGTCTTATGCCTCACTTCACATTTCAAGCACATTCTGTCTCTTACACATCACTGATAGAGGTCCTATTTATTGTCTACAGTGTTTATAATCTCTACATTTAACCTGCAAGTTTCATGCTCCTCTTACTTATGATATTTTAAACTCTAACTTTTACAAACTTTGCACGTAATCTGTTAAATCATTTTGGTCAAAATTAACCATTAAAAATCAAATGTCCTTCTGCACTCTCCAGCTTTCGCTATCAGTTACCTTCTGCTTATGTTTTTACTATCTAAAAGTAGTAACAGTAATGGTATTGTTTCAGTTGAAAAATAAGAGGTATAAACTGGTGCATTTAAGTTAATGTTATCAATTTTTTATTTAACTAATCACCAATTACAAATATTTTGTTTTTTCCTTAGGGTCATTTAGGCCTAGTTCTAGCATACTGCCTTCCTCGGTGTAAGGTAAGTTTTATCACTGTGTTTGTATTTGTAATGTTTGATGCCTTCATTTTATCGAAACATTTATAGTTGATCGTTTGTAAAGCTACTGAGATATGCTTTCTGTTTAAGTATTTTGTAATAGACTAAAGAATAATTCAAATTTTCACTGTCTTATTACTATAATGGATGTAGTGTGTATGTAACTGAAACTCCTGCGCCATCTGTTGAATGGCACCAGAAACAAAAATCCATAAAACATTTCACACTTTAGATATTCAAGATTCAGACAATTAGAAAAATAACTACGTTATGTACAACAACCATATCTTTATAATAGAACACAACATTAAATAAAAATACTCTCCTCACAACAAGAACAGGACTTTCACTAGAACAGTACGTGAGGGTTTGATTATGTCTTTATTTTTGTAATTTGTAAATGTTGTAACTGAGAAAATAGAGTTTTTTAAAAATATATATTATTTTTTCAATAAACGGTAGCACTTTTAATACACAAAAACATTACAGTATATATATCATTAAATTTATGAAAATTTTGAGCTCTGTACATTGAATCATTTCGATGCAATGAGTTGCGTACGATTAAAGAGCAATATCCGAACCTTTTTAGAATGAAGTATGAATACTACAATTAGACAAACAGCTGCCCTTAGGGCAATGTTTCTGCTAGTATTTTTTAATTGGGATATAAAAAAGGTGCAATACATAAGGTAAAAAAAATCAGTGTGGCTATAAAAATAAGGTTATTTTGTATTAATTTATGTCAGTTCATAATATACTAGTTTAATCATTAAATTAAATTGTAATAGGCCCGTTATGGCCAGGTAGTTAGGGCGCTTGACTCATAATCTGAGGGTCACGGGTTCGAATCCCCGTCACACCAAATATGCTTGCCCTTTCAGCCGTGGGGG